TTCTGTAATGTGCTTCACCATCCCTGACATAATCTCCATGGTTTCAGGAGATCATCATGATCTGTAGAGGCCATGTAAAATTCACAGATGGTGAATTAGAGTCAAATCATCTGGAACTGGCATTCAATTTCACAAACCGGGACAATGCCTCTGCTCACCAGCATCTTATGGCAGAGTTCTGGAGCAATTCTTGTATGTAAGTTCATGTCCAGCTTATTTAGCGAGGTGATGAAAAACTTGGGCACATCTCCACTAGAGATGGCATTTATCCTAGGAATTTCAACGTCTAGGAATCCAAACTTATCAAAATCTTCTTATACACGTGATACTATTACTGTGGATGATAAATTTCTTCTTTTCAAAGTCATTCAGGTCCAAGCCCAAGTATGTCCAATGATGTTGTGTTTCTTTGTCTTTGAGGCCAAAGTGAGGATTAGGTGACATATACGAGCAAGGAGGCAATAGTGTGATTTTGTGGAGAATGACACTCTGCAAACCCTTCTTTGTTTTTCCAGGATTCTCTTGAACTCCAATTATGTCTCCCGAGGCAGTCTGTTATTGATATAAATAAATTCTTCTGATTTAAAATTCCTTGAATTGGCCATAACTTGCAACTTCACCTGTACTAGAAGGGCACAGAAGATGAACCTCCCGGGCTCTTCTGGCATAGAGACTACCTACCCCTTAAGGTGATGTTGGTCAGGTGGTCTGCAGGTGCAGCAAGTGAGTAGGTCTACATGGAGCCTGTGGGGTGCGGGTGTCCTCAGCGCTCAGCATGTGGTGGGAGCTCAACTGTGGTCTTGTAGTGTTAATGGGGGTCCTGCAGTGTGGATGGGGGTCCTGCAGTGTGGATGGGGATCCTGCAGTGTGAATGGAGGCTTCCTGCAGTGTGGATGGGGTCCTGGAGTGTAGATGGGGAAGCTTGCACTGTGGATGGGGTCCTGAAGTGTGAATGGGGGGGTCCTATAGTGTGGGTGGGGTCCTGCAATGTGGATGGGGTCCTGCAGTGTGGATGGGGGTCCTGCAGTGTGGATGGGGTCCTGCAGTGTGGGTGAGGTCTTGCAGTGTGGATGGGGTCCTGCAGTGTGGATGGGGCCCTGCAGTGTGGGTGGGTTTCTGCAGTGTGGATGGGGGCCTGCAGTGTGGGTGGGGGTCCTGCAGTGTGGGTGGGGGTCCTGCAGTGTGGATGGCGGGCCCACTGTCTGTTTTCAGTGTTGTGGTGGTGGCAGCAGCCGGGCCTACCTGTCTTTCTCGGAGCTGCTGCTCGGCCTCCTTCTCGGCCACTTTCTCTTCAGCTTTCAAGTGTCTTCAGTTCATTCTTTCCCAGTTTCCATCGTCGCCATTCACTGCCACCTCACGTCCTCATGGCAGCCATGTTTCCCCAGGGTCCTACCCAAGGTGGGTGAGGCTCATGAGCAACTTTCAGGGAAGCCGTTGCTGTCGTGTGCCTGTGCGCCATAGCTCTGAAGGCTGCAACTCAGGTGCCAGACGTCAAACATGGCTGTGGCCATGGATCTGGGCAAAACCCAATGGCTCCTGTGTGTGTGTGTGTGTCCCAGTCCAGGGAGGTGTTGGCCAAGGGCATGAATAATTTTAAATAAACTTGCTATGTTTTAGAATAGATTTAACAATACCTTCAGAAGTTCTCATCATTCTTATAACCAATTTTTGGCCATACCTTCTCAGCTTCCTCCCCACAAAACAAGGAGATATGCGGTGGGCGAGGAAACAGGAACGAAAGCCTTGCAAGTGGTAGAAGGAGACAGGCTCCCCACCTACCACCCCAGAAAGCCTGGCCTGAGCTGTTCTCTGTGGCGGAGGCCACAGCACAGAAGGGCATGGAGTGAAGACCCAGCGTGGGCGACACTGACAGCCTTCATAGACAGGTAACAGGGCCAGACAGCATCTCCATTCAGGCCCAGCACCGTCCACAACTGGTCTCCCCGTCTCACCAACCCTTACCGTCTTCTCCGTGTCCTCAAAGACTTCTCGGATCTCTTCGTAATCGCAAGTCTCTTCCACACACTCACTTTCAAGGTATTCTCTTTTTCTCTCTTCAGATAATGAATTAACCCTGTTCAGGAAGCTGTTGGCATGTTCCCGGAGGATGAACACTGGAAGAGAGGGAAGCACACAAAGTACTTATCAAATTATCATGTCACCTCCCTGCTGCAAAAGGCTGAGAACTCCTTCCTCAGGCACCAGGCAGCTGGGAAAGAAACGCCCATCTCCCTCATGACTCCTCCTGGAGTTACATACAGTGCCTGTTCTAGACCCCACACACCCTTTTCTGGAGACGTAGACACATTCCATCCAATCCACTACCACCCTCCCTGCACATTCACACCCAGCTTTAGAGTGGTCAATGCAAACCCCCTCTCCTGAACTCTCCCTTCTCAGAGTGGTTCCAGGCCACTGTCACCTCCCTTTCCCTGACCAACTACTCCACTCTGTGCTTTGGCTCAGGCTGTGCCCCTCCACTCTCATCCTCACCCTGAGCCTCACCCACCCCTCAGGTCAGAGTTAGTGGGGAGTTGTGATACTGTTTTGATCATGATCTACAATTAAAGGTATGATTTATATCAAGTCCCAGGACTCCCAAATATAAATTAAAACAGAAGTTTTGCCCTAGCTGGTTTGGCTCAGTGGATAGAGCATCAGACTGTAGACGAGAGGGTCCTGAGTTCGATTCCGGTCGGGGCACGTGCTTGGTTGCAGGCTCCTCCCTGGCCGGGGCTGTGGTCGGAGTGTGTGAGGGAGGTGATCAATCGATGTGTTTCTCTCACATTGATATTTCTCTCTCTTCCACTCTCTCTAAAAACCAATGGAAAAATATCCTCAGGTGATTATTAAAAACACACACAACAAAACAAAACAACCCCAGAAGTTTCAACCCAGCTGGTGTGGCTCAGTTGGTTGGAGTGTCGTCCGTGACACCAGAAGGTGGCAGTTTAGATTCCCAGTCAGGGCACACACTCAGGTTCTGGGTTCCGACCCTGGTCAGGGCACGTATGGGAAGCAATTGACGTTTCTCTCTTATTTCCTTCCTTTCTGTCTCAAATCACTGAAAACATATCCTCAGGTGAGAATTACAAAGAAAAATAACAACAGCAATAACAAAAACAAAACAGAAGTTTCAAGAAAGAGTATTTACTATAATTTTCTACAAAACAGTACTTATTACAAAATTTTCTACTTGATTCTGTTATTTTTCATTTAAAGCAAAACCCCACTAAATTGATTTCATGACTCACAAATGAGTCGTGACCTGCTCATGACAAGTTAAAACGTCTTGGGTCAGAGAGCCTCTGAGTCCTCCCTGTGGTCTCTATCTGCAGCTGGCTTGTCCCCATGCTCTGCCTGAGTCTATCTCTCCCTCATTCACCACTCCTTTCCTTCTTTCCATTGTGGTGCAGGAGGCGCTCAGATTCCTTTCCTCGCCCTCTACACTCTTCTCTCTTTTCTCCACTGAAGAGTTTAGAGTTTCACCATAATACTCTCCACCTTGGTATTGCTAGTCCCAACTTTCATCCCAGCTCTATGCTTTCAACTCTCTCATCGTGGTGGATATCTCCCCTCATCGCAAACGCCAGACTCCCACATCCAAAACCAAAACACACACCCAGTACTACAGAATCTAGAAGGCCTGAGTTTCA